GTGACCCTAATTGTTCTCCCTATACTGTGACAGCACACTCCTCCTTTCCACCCCTGATTTCCTGTGTCCATTCAGCCAGCTCCTAACCCTCTCTGCCTTCTCATCTCGCCTCTGGACAGGAGCTGCCCATTTAGTCTCATGTATCTACTTGAGCTAAGAAGCATACTCTTCATGAGTATCATTTTATGTCCCACAGTCCAGTCTAATCTTTGTCCGAAGGGTTGGCCTCGGGAATTGTTTTAGTTCTGGGTTGACAGAGAGTACGAGGGCCATGCTTTCTGGGATTCCTCCAGTCTCAGTCTGACGATTAAGTCTAGTCTTTTTACTAGAATTTGAGTTCTGCACCCTACTACAAGAGGCCAAGTTTTAATGAAAGTACACGATCCAAAATGTAATTTTCTATTTCGGTTATTTAAGCATCTTGAAGGAAAGAAAATGACACTTGAAGAAATGAAAACAAAGAATGAAAAGTATGTATTTGAAGAAAGAATTGTTGACATATAGTGCATCTGGAGTGTCACTGTCTCATAAGCAGTGGCAGTTACTTAATTGTGATCATTTATTATACAATGTTTCCATTATGATGACTAGAAAAAGTGAATAAATTGCAAAATCCATGTAGGCTAATGACGTCATGTTGTTGTTGGGTGCTGTCAAGTCATAGCAACCCGATATGACAGAGTAGAACTTCCCCATAGGGTTTCCTAGGCTGTAATCTTTTCTCCTGCGGAGCCACTGCTGGATTTGAACCACCGACATTTTGGTTAGCAGGCGAGAGTTTAACCGCTGTGCCATCAGGGCTCCTTAAAGACATTAGGGCTGTGGAAACAACAACTAGATGAACTGCAATCCCAGAGAAGGAAGATCCCTGCGCGTGTGAGCTGATGATCACCAGACATTAGCTTCCGTGCAGATGTTTGCTGATTCTGGGGGCAGAAGTTCTCCAGGATGAAGGAAATGATCTTAGATGGAAACATAGAACTGTGGAAGGAATGAAAAACATTAGAAAGGATAAATATGGGGGTAAATACAAAAGAATATTAACTCCCTAAATCAATAACAGCTCCAATAATCCTCTTCCCACCCTATGCACTGTTTTGCCACATATCTTCTTTCTAGGTATGTTCTAAAGTCCATGAGAATTAAAATATATAACAATAATAGCACAAGGCAGGAGATGGGTATAGAATTAAACTGTTGTAACTTTCTTTCATTGTTTAGGGAGTGACAGATGTACAACCTAAGACAGATTTTAGTAAATCAAGGTTGCATACCGAAATCTCATGTAACCACTAAAATAGAAAATATAACTAAGAGGAAGTGAGATAATGACTAATACTGGAGTAATCCAAGAGAATGCAGAAAAGAAGAAATAAAGAACATAGAGGACAAATAGAAAAAAAAAAAAAAAAAGCCAGGTGGTGGATAAACCTCATGGACATTATGATTACCAAAATAACTCAGAAACAAAAGGATGTATAGTGTATTTCATTCATAGGAAGTTCAAAAACACTTTAGTGTATCTGGGAAAAACTGGTGTTTGGGGGGAGAAGTGATATAAGAACAAAAGGTGACAGGACCCTCAGCAGATGTGAAGGGGCTTGTCTCTGATGGAACAAGACGTCCATTGTCACAGGCAGGAAGAAGTGGAAGATAGTAGGTCTGTACATTTGATCAAAGTTGAGGGAGTTTTCCATCTGATGGTTTTTGTTTCCTCAATAAAGTATGGGGCTAGGTATGACCCTGGGCAAGTCCTTTAACTTCTAGGCCTCACTTTTTTCACCTCTAAAATGGGGGACAATTGAACCCACATCATAGGATTCTTGCAATTAAAAATGGAGAGCAACTCAGCCTTCCTCTTCTTGGAACTTAGCCTGAAGCAAATAATCAGAACTGTACACTGGGCTTCATTCCATTTTCCCAACTCACCAAGCTCTTCCCTGAACCAACAGGATAGGCTTTTTTGCTGAAGTAATATATCCCAAAGTATCAGATGTGAACTAACAAGGTTGGTTCCTTGTTCCCACGAAGACTGCTCTGGGTACACGGTTCACTGTGAAAGCACAGAGACACACACAGGGAAGAAGGCCATGTGACCATGGAGGCAGAGACTGGAGTGATGTAGCTACAAGCCAAGGAATGCCAAGGATCACGGGCAACCACCAGGAGCTAGGAGACAGCCTGGAACGGATTGTCCCTCAGAACTTCTAGAAGGAACCAATCCTGCCGACACCTCGATTTTGGACTTCTGGTGTCCTGAACTGTGGGAGAATAAATTTCTGCCATCGTAACCCACCCAGTTTATAGGGATTTGTTACGGCAACTCCAGAAAACTAATGTGGCGCCCTTGGGAAGCCCTCACTGAATCCCCAGGCTTGGATCTGCCCCCTATTGTACCCTCCCAGCCAGGCATTCTTCACCTTTGTAAGAGTAGTCACAGCTGTAACTATTTTTTGTGTGTAATTATTTGTTAAACATCCATCTCCCCAGCTAAGCACTGAAAGCTGGCCTGTGTCCATCACGTTTTCTACTGCGTCCTCAGTACCAACCACCGAGCCCAGCGCCCGTCACAGAACAGTCACTCGAAAACTGTTTCTCAAATGATGTGCATCACAGGGTTGTCTGCAAGATAGCCAATAGTAGAGGACTGGGGAAATAAATTATGGTCCACCCATAAGACAGCATACTGAGCAGTCATTAAAATTTGCTTTAGAAAGATAATTAATAATGGAAAAAATGTTCTAAATAATTGCCAAGTTAAAAGTGGAATACGACAGTTTAAAGAGCTTGGCTCCAATTTGCTTTTTTAAAAAGTATTATATATAGAAATACACACACAAAGCAAAAAGCTTAGAAAAGATACACCAAAATATCAGCAGCAGTCTCATCTGAGTGGTGGGATTACATGTGATTTTAATTTCCTTATAGGTATTTTTTTATACTTTCCCAATCTTCTCAGTATAAAATGAAGTACCTAGGACATAACAGGAGTCCCTGGGTGGAGCAATTGGTTAAATACTCAACAACTAACCGGAAGATTGGGGATTTGAACCCGCCCAGAGGTGCCTCAGAAGACAGGCCTGGCAATCTACTTTTGAAAGGTCACAGCCTTGAAATCTCTACGCAGTACGGTTCTACTCTGCTCACATGGGGTTGCCATGAGTCAGAATCGACTCGACAGCAACTGAGGTTTTTTGTTTTTTTTTTTGTTTTAGGATTGTGAACTAAAATTGTAAGTTTTGCTTTATGAAAACAGAGTTCTCTGACCCATGACACGAATGATCATCTTATTAAATGTTAGCAACTTATGAGCTATATAAGTACATAAATGTATAATTGTAATGCCTAGAGCTATGCCTTGAACTAAACTAACCTTTAGAAGTAGCTTGTCTTGTTTCACATAATCGTATTTAGGTGGCCAGGCTCACTAAAACACTTGAAAACGTATTCTTTCAGAAAACAATTGAAGATGAACGAACATATCCTGTTTCCAAGACTCCAGAGGTCTTACAACCACGGCTTGTTGACATTGCGGTTATCTTAGAAAGGTTCCTACGTAAGCTTTGATAATATTGTCGCACATACTGCTCTTTTGTAAGACTTATGTATTCTGACACAATTGTCAACGAGTCAAAACATTTTTTGTTCAAAAGTTTCTGATGAAATTATATATAAGTACCCTGCAAATCTGAAGTACTCAGAGCACTGATTTACTTGGTAATAACGTGCTGCCAGCTTTGAAGTTGTCTACTAAGCCTGCGTAGCAATCTGTTACTGGTGTTCTGAGTTGTTTATTTTTGACAGGATGTAACAGATGCTCAGTAAGCGTGAATCCTGTACTTCCCCCCACTCCTCTTCTCCTCCCTGAGAAGATTCTGAGAGGACAAGAATCTTGATGCTCTGAATAATGGAGCCTCCCTGGGATTTCTTCTGCCTTCAACAGGTCCCTGCTCAAGCTTTGCTTCCCCTGGGGGTCCGCAGTCTTGAACCCCGCAACAGTTCATGTCCAGCTGACATGTGACCCTGAGCCAGGGTCAGGAGCTCAGCAGAGGGGCCCAAAGCAGGCCCGGGGGCCGGGGGTGCTGTCTAGTAACCATGCCTGGGGCTGAGAGCTGAATCCCCAAGGGGTCTGTTTCTGATGAGACGGCAAGTCATCGTGAGGTAAGAAATATTTCTGGTGGAAGAAACAAGCAAGGCCTGCTGCCCCAGCATCCATGGTGCCCCCAACCCGCCCATTCTCGCACCTCTGGGGAGGGGACAACACAAGATTAGCATCAGAAAAGGCTTGGGGTCTCCTCTTACCTCTGCCACCACCTCAGAACCTGGTTGCCACCTCAGAACCCGGGCGAGTTGCTTTGCTTTGCTAAGCCTCAGCTTAAGCACCTGAGAAGCAGCATGAAGACCCCACCTCCCAGGGCAGCTCAGGTCTATGTTGACTACCATCAGTACTGGTCCCCTACCCCTGGGGTCCCAAGACAAGAGGCCAGCATGGGTGACAAAGGACGTTTATTCAGGCTGGATCCTTGGATCCATCCATACATGTAGCAATATATATTTCAAATCAGGGAAATTGTAGTCAAGCTTGGTGTGACTTCCCTCCCTCCCACCCACTGGCACAGCCTTCCCAATTGGCATCCAGCCCAGTGGCTCCCTTCCAAATCCGGGATGTAGGGGATGAGGTCACTTCTTGACAGCTTCTTCCTGGGCTGCCAAATCTGCCTCTTTCTGAGCAGCCAGGAATGCGGCGCGCTCCTTCTGGAAAGCTGCCAGCTCCTCCGAACTGAGGCTGCAGGTGCAGAAAAACAGACGGTAGGTGAATGACCAGTCGCTGGGGGGTGAGGGGTTTCACAAGTGCCCTGTCATTGTCTCAGAATCCAGCCTGCCATCACTGTCTCAGAATCTAGCCTGCCCATCACTATCTCAGAATCCAGCTTGCCCGTCACTGTCTCAGAATCCAGCTTGCCCGTCACTGTCTCAGATACGAGCCTGCCCATCACTGTCTCTGAATCCAGACTGCCCAGCCCCTTCTCCCTTCCTTCACTTCCCAGTCTCGTCTCCTTGCTCACTTGTCCCCTTGGCTAGGAATGCCACCCCACCACCCCCTGCCTTCTTTCCCTTACCAAGCTCTACTCAATTCTCTGAGGCCTTGACTATACCCCAGTCCAGATTAACTGGCCCCTCCTTTGTGTCCCCAAACACTTTGTGCAATAAGGTCATTGGGCCGCGCATGCACCTCCCCCAGAGCAGGGGTCAGTTTACTTGTCTCTGTACTCCCAGGAAAAGTCGAGGTTTGAGAAAAGTCATGACCATCCCTGCTCCATGCTTAACCCCACTCCTCTTGGGAAACAGGCAATTCCAGCCCTGACCTGTGATACAGGCAGCAAGAGGCAGGGAAAGTCGGCCCTTTACCGCTGGTCAGTGTGGGGTGTCATGGGACAGTGCTGTCCCTGCTGCTGTTTGCGCCACCCATCATCCTGCTTCAAGCAAACAATGCCTGAGGTCACTGGAAGCCCAGGAGCAGACCCCTTGAGACAATGCGAAAGGTCTTTCCCGACAGGTCTGTTTGCCTGGCCTCCCTTGTCCCCACCTCCCACTCAGCCCTGGCACCATATACCCACATCACACTGAACTCCTGTGCCTCGGTCTCTCACCTTCCAGCCTTCACAGGGATCTTTATGCTTCTTGGATTATTTTTCCCCAGTCGTTGACCTGGCTGAATCCTGTCTTTTTCCAGGTCTCTGCTTAGATGTTACCTCTCCCACAAAGCCCTCCCTGGCACATCAGGCAAACTGAGGGGCCCTCTTCTCTGTTCTCATGACACCCATACTTCCTTTACTCAACACTCACCACCCACAGTCTAACGCTCCATTTACACATCTGCCACCCCCTCTGGAGTGTGAGCTCTTGAGGAGCAGGACCAAGCATGGCTGCCTTGTTCCTGGCTGTATCCAATGCCCAGAACAATGTCTAACACACAACAAGCATGTAATGAATATATCCCAAGTGAATGAATGAGATTCAGATGCTGACTCTCCCACTATCATGGGCTTGTCAGCTGTGCCCTCCCCTCATAGCCTGCCTCCCCAGGACACTCACTCCTTCAACACTCGGATGCCCAGGGAACGAGCAGAGCCAATGACGGAGCGGACCACAGAGGACAGAGGCACATCCTGTAGGGCAAAGGCATCATCCTGAGCTTTGACGCGGGCAATCTCATACACGTGCTTCAAGGTCACCAGGCCTGCCACCTCTTTCCCTGGGAGGAAAGAAAAAGTAGCCCTTCAGGTGTCACTGCGTCCTTCCAGGGACCCCCAGAATCCCAGGTGCTCACCCTGGCCCTCACCTGTGTGCCGGGCCCCCTTCTCAATCCCAGCAGCTGCCTTCAGGAAGTAGGAAACAGTGGGTTGTCCAACCTTAATTTCAAATGTCCTGTCAGGCTTCAAAGAAAGAAGAAATATGAGACAATCTCTTCCTGCTTGCCCCAGCCCAAGAAACTTCCTCAACTCACCTTCCTATGGTGTCCCTCTAACAGACCACAAAGACACAACAAATAGATCTGCAGCAAACATCCCTGTCACCTCTATGCCAGGCCCAACTCTGCTCTAGAAGCCCCGGTGAGATGGAGAAGCCAAGAGAAAAACTGCAACACACAGGGCAGGGAGGGGACTGGGAAAGGCTATGGTCTAGTCTTCACTGTGTAAATGAGGAAAGTGAGGCCAGAAACAGGAAGAGATTTGCCCCTAGTCAGGAGCAGAGTAGCAACCTCAGCTGACCAGCTCCAGGACCAAGGGATGAAAGAGCAACCAACTCCGCACCTTCACAAAAATCTTGGTAGGCAGAGGGATGCCTTCTTTGATGTCCTTTGTCTTCTCGTTGAACTCCTTGCAGAACTGGTTGATGGAAACGCCTCGCTGTGAGAGAAGCATAGGGGACAGCTGTGGGTGACAGGGATGGCTTCCTACCACCCACGAGGCTGGGTCCCTTCCCTCCTCCATCTTCAGTCCCCTGTGTTCCCTTACTCTTTCCTCTACCCAGATTCAACTACCACTTTGCGTGTCAGGGGATTTGCACGCCTCATCCCTCTTTATCCTCACAACAACAGCCCATGATAGGGAGAGTTGAAGAAGCTCAGGTTCGGAAAGGTTATGTGACGAACACAAGGCCATAAAGCGTGTGAAGCAGAGATGAGCTTCCAGCCGAGGTCTCGGTGGCTCCAGAGCCCGCATCCTCCACCTGTGAACTCGCCCCTACCCTCCGGAACCTCCCATGCCGGCTCCTGCCGCGGTCGAACCTGACCCAGGATGGGGCCTAGTGGGGGCCCGGGCATAGCCTGGCCCGCCCGCAAAATGGTCCGGATCACGCCGCCGGCCTCGGGCTTCCTGAGGGCCCGAGTGGCCCGGCTTAGCTTCGACATGATGCGAGGATCCTGTTCTCAACTCACTTCAGCACAGAAGCAACAGCGACGCTCTGAGCGCCGCCATCTTGGGCCAGAGGTCAAGGGTCCTTATAGGGTCCTCACCTCACCTTAGACCAACAAATAGCAGCGTTGTTTCAGTCCTTCCACTCTCCAACTCTTAAGACAAGGAGGGTGAGAGGAAGAGAAAAGTCTTTAAGTTATCTTCTGCAGATAAGGAGCCCTCTGCGGGAGAAAGATGTGGCAGTCGGCTTCCATAAAGATTACAGCCTTGGAAACCTTATGGCGCAGTTCTAGCCTGCCCTTTGGGTCGCTATGGTCGGAATTGACTCGATAGCAACGGATTTGGTTTGATTTTGGTTTCTGCAGACGGGGAAGATCCGAACACCCTCACTACACATTTCTCCAGGGGCGCGCACAGGCAGTGTCTCGGACAGCTAAACAGGAGGACGACTAAAACCTTGGTACCCGCACTGCATTGTGGGTGTGGTAGTTTTGACACACCCCCCAAGTCCTGTAGCCCGGGTGGCGCCGTAGTTAAGAGCTCGGCTGCTAACCAAAACGTCTCCGGTTCGAGTCCACAAGCCGCTGATTGGAAACCCTGTGAGGCTGTTCTACTCTGTCCTATAGGGTCGCTATGAGTCGGAATGGACTCCACGGCAGTGGGTTTGGTTTGGTTTTATACAAATCCTGGAGATTGCTATGCGCTGGGGCGTCATCTGTTGAACATAAGGATAATCCTTTTGGGCTTGAAATGAACCTGTTGGGTGCCCGCTAGTCGATCTGGACTCATAGCGACCCTATGTGACAGAGTAGAACCGCCCCATAGGGTTTTCTAGGTTGTAATCTTTACGGAAGCGGATCACCACGTCTTTCTCCCACAGAGCCGCTGGGTGGGTTCCAACCGCCAACTTTTCGGTTAGCAGCTTAGCGCTTAACCATTCCATCACCAAACCAAAAAACCAAACCCACTGCTGGCGACTCAACTGCGACCCTATAGGACGGAGTACAACTGGCCTCATAGGGTTTCCAAGGAGCGGCTGATGGATTTAAACTGCCGATCTTTTGGTTAGCAGCCGAGCTCTTAACCACTGCGCCACCAGGGCTCCTATTGCATTACCAGGGCTCTTGAAATGAACCTAGAGCCTGATTTTAGGAACGCAAGTCTCTTTACTCTCCAAGCCTGTTTTCTCCTCTGTTGTTGAGATGTTGTGCCTCTTGCTGGCTGTGACTTTGCTCATGTCCCTTATGTTTAATTTTCTTCCCTGTAGAATGGGGATTATAATATGTAGCACCTACTTTTCAGGATTGTTCTGAGGTTTAATGAGGCAGCAAAGCGCTTTGGAACCATGCCTGGCACCCAGTAAGCATGTGCTATAGTTATCCGTCCACCACACGGCTGTCAGTTTGTTGTACTGTGGTGGCTTGCAAGTATTGCTGGGATACTGGAAGCTTTGCTACCGGTATTTCAAATACCAGCAGGGTCACGCTTGGTGAATAGATTTCAGCGGAGCTTCCAGACTAAGACAGACAAGGAAGAAGGACGTTGTGAAATGAGATAACCCATATAAAACAACACGGTGGACTGTGAGATGCAATATAATTTTTTTCTTATGAATTCTTGTTGGACTCTGAGTAATTAAATGTGATTGTTCCTGCCTCTGAAGTCTGTTGAGAACTTTATAGCCTTCGGTTTTGTTAGCCTTGGAGTCTCTGGGTAGTGCAAATGGTTCGCATGCTTGGCTGCTAACCGAAAGGTTTGCAATTCCAATCAGCCGTCGAAAACCCTATGGAGCACAGTTCAGCTCTGACACATGGGGTTGCCATGTGTCAGAATTGACTTGACCACAACTGGTGGTTAGCCTTATCAGGATTTGGGACCAGGCTGGTTCTTTATTAGCTGTAAAACTTTGGGCAAGATAATTAACCTCCCGGTGCTTCAGTTTCCTCACTAGTAGAATAACCAAAAACTAAACCAAACCCGTTGCCATCGAGTTGATTCCAACTCATAGCAACCCTATAGGACAGAGTAGAACTGCCCCATAGGGTTTCCAAGGAGCGACTGGTGAATTTGAACTGCCAACCTTTTGGTTAGCAGCTGACCGCTTACCCACTGTACCATCAGGTCTCCAGTAGTATGGGGCTAATAATACTATCTACCTCGTTTGGCTGCGGCAGTACATCAAAAGGGAACTGCTAGAAATTCAAGCTGGATTCAGAAGAGGACGTGGAAACAGGGATTTCATTGCTGATGTCAGATGGATCCTGGCTGAAAGCTGAGAATACCAGAAAGATGGTTACCTTTGTTTTATTGACTATGAAAAGGCATTTGACTGTGTGGATCATAGCAAATGATGGATAACATTGCAAAGCATGGGAATTCCAGAACACTTAATTGTGCTCATGAGGAACCTGTACATCGATCAAAAGGCAGCTGTTCGAACAGAACAAGGGGATTCTGTGTGGTTTAAAGTCAGGAATGGTGTGCGTCAGGGTTGTATCCTTTCACCATACTTATTCAATCTGTATGCTGATCAAATAATCCGAGAAGCTGGACTCTATGAAGAAGAACAGGGCATCAGGATTGGAGGAAGACTCATTAACAATGTGTGTTATGCAGATGACACAACCTTGCTTGCTGAAAGTGAAGAGGATTTGAAGCCCTTACTGATGACGATCAAACAGTAAAGTCTTCAGTATGGATTACACCTCAACATAAAACAAAAATCCTCACCACTGGTCCAATAAGCAACATCATGATAAATGGATAAACGATTAAAGTTGTTAAGGATTTCATTTTACTTGGATCCACAGTCAACACCCATGGAAGCAGCATGTGAGGAAACTGAAATCAAAAGACACATTGCATTGGGCAAATCTGCTGCAGAAGACCTCTTTAAAGTGTTAAATAGCAAAGATGTCACCATGAAGACTAAGGTGCATCTGACCCAAACCATGGTGTTTTCAATTGCCTCATATGCATGGGAAAGCTGGACAATGAATAGGGAAGACTGAAGAAGAATTGATGCCTTTGAATTATGGTGTTGGTGAAAAATATCGCATAGACCATGGACTTCCAGAAGAACGAACAAATCTGTCTTGGAAGAAGTACAGCCAGAATGCTCCTTAGAAGCAAGGATGGCGAGACTACGTCTCACATACTTTAGACATGTTATCAGGAGGGATCAGTCCCTGGAGAAGGACCCATGCTTGGTAAAGTAAAGAGTCAGCAAAAAAGAGGAAGACCCTCAACCAGATGGATTGACACAGTTTCTGTAACAATGGGCTCAAGCATAACAACGATTGTGAGCATGGCGCAGAACTGGGCAGTGTTTTGTTCTGTAGCACATAGGGTCGCTATGAGTCAGAACTGACTTCACGGTACCTAACAACAACAACAAGGGGGCAGATAACTTATCTCTTTAGTTCACAGGTCTTCAGAGGGACAGGAACTGTACTTGAGCTGTGTCCAAGGAACCACACCTGAAGAGCCTCATGCTCTCCTGACTCTGATAAAGATGACGAGATTTTGGACTTTATGTTGGGGTAACAGTTGCAGAGGCCTTGGAAAGGGATGACTGTATTTTGAATATGGGAGGAGAGCCAGAGGGCAGACTGTACCGTGGTCACCAGCTTCCAAGATGCCCCCCAATTATCCCTGCCTCCTGGTATTCACACCCTGAATAGGGCTGATCTGGGTAACCAATAGAATATCACAGAAACAATAATGTGTGACCTCTGAGGCCAGGTTTAAAAAAAAAATCATTGTGGCTTCTGCCTTCTTTCTTGGATCACTTACTCTCAGGGAAGCCACATGTCATGACAAGCAGCACCATGGGAAGTCCACATGGAGAGTAATGGTTGGCCCTTTGCCAAAAACCGGCACTAACTGGCTTGGTATGTGAGTCTCCTTGGAAGGGGATCCTTCAGTCCCAGTTAAGCTTTCAAATGACTATAGCCCTGGCTGATGTCTTGACTGCAACCTCATGAGTGACCAACTCCAAGCCGGTACCACCCAGCTAAACTGTTCCCATGCTGAGAGTGTGTAAGATAATAAATGTGTATTATTTTAAGCCACTAAGTTTTGGAAAAGGAGCTCTGGTGTTGCAATGGTTAAGTTCTTGGCTGCTAACAGAAAGGTCAGCGGTTTGCACCCACCAGCTGCTCCAAAGGAAAAAAGATCTGGTGATCTGCTTTCATAAAAATTACAGCTTGTAAGGTCACTACGAGTCAGAATTGACAGCACACAACAACAAGTTTTGGGGTAATTTGCTATGTGACGATAGATTAATATGGCCAGGCACTGGGATGAGCTGTTACAGGCAACATTTGGTTTAATCTCCACAATGACCCTGGGTGGGGTATCAAGACGACACATGTTCAAGCCATCAGTTCTTTAATGATAAAAGGGGGCATAAATTGTGAATATAACTTTAATCATCCTCTAGAACAGGGGCCAGCACGCTTTTGTATAAGGGGCCAGATAGTAAGTATTTTAGACTTTGCAAGCTCTAGAGTCTCTCTCACAACCACTCAGCTTTGTTGTTGGGAGTGTGAAAGCGGACACAAACAATACATGGACAAAGGCGCGTGGCAGGGGCATGGCTATGCTCCCATAGGAGTCCCTGGGTGCTGCAAATGGTTTAGCACTACTAGCTAAAAGGTTGGCAGTTCTAACCCACCCAGATGTGCCTCAGAAAACAGGCCTGGAGATCTGCTTCCAAAAGGTCACGGCCTTCAAAACCCTATGGAGCAGTGGTGTCACTAGGGTTGGTGTCACCCAGTGTAGGAACTCATGATGTCACCCCCCATGCTAATTACCACAGTATTGTAGCTAAAACAACCAAAAAATTGACAAAATCAGCGAGCATAAAAACACCAGCAGCAATGAGAACAACTGCGCATGCTTGTAGTGTCTGCAGACGAAACCACATGATTCTGAAAGAGGCTGCATAGATCCGGCTCACTATCATAATTCCCCCATTGCTAACCCCCGCATTGTCTCATGATGTTTTCTTTTTCTTCCTGTTCCAGTCTTTATAAAAAGTTTAAGATTAACCAATGTCCCTCCAGGGTGGA